GCTTGTTTTATATGAAAATTTGGTTTAACGTCCTACTAATCTGCACCATTCGGATTAATGAAGACGAATATATAAGGGGGAAATCTAGGGTTTCGTCGAGCCCCCATCCCGACGCACTGAAGTCGAACCTCTTAAGTCGGGCAAACAACGTACTATAGCCACTTTAAAACAACCCGACAGCGTTAATTAAAGGGAGATAACTATATTGAAATGTTACGTAACGAGTCCTCTCACCACTATCAAAAGGAACCAAAATCTTTGCGATATAAACATATTTTAAGTTACTTGCAGAGTGCCCACAAACAAAATGTGGACGAACGAACGGACAGGGGCGCGAGGACAATATACATCCACATGAAAATGTGGGCGTAAAAAAATAAATTCTTATTAGACTTAAAAGTAACTCGAATCAGTCTAAATATGTATCGTAGACTCTTTATCAAGTAGGCAACCCTGATAAATCTTATTGACAAATGATACTGGTTAATCATACATTCTTATAAACACCACGTTAAGATGAATGTAGTGCCTTGAAATGTCATGTTTATTGAAATGAAATGAAATGAAATGAGGTTTAACGTGTGCTACGAGGGAAATTTTGCCCGGACAGCGTCACTATCGCCTACTCTTATATCGAATTCAAAATGCCAAGGGATCTTTTACGTAAATGCCAATGTATACAGGGGACTTCGGTTCTTCGTCTCATCCGAACGACTAGACAGCTGTCCTTGTCGTCCCCTTCATCCTGCACCACAGACAAGGGGAAACCACGTCGGAAAATCCCATGATGTTTATGGGGAGTCATTTAATTATTTTAATTAACCCAGGTAGTGTTCCTTTGACAACACCCCCCCCCCCCCCCACCCCGTATCAGATCAGAGGTAAGAGAAAGTTGAGAACTGGAATATTTGTTGTGTGACCTAAATACAATATTTCCAGTTAATATTTTCTGGTTGGAATTTTTACGGTCGATAACCTCCAGTGTTACCTGAAAGTTATCGAACTCTAATCGATTATATATACTTGGATTGTTTTTATTGATTAGCATCTATCAATATTTAAACAAACTGCATCATTCTTAATAAATAATGTATTTGTCCGTGAATTATTGATTTAATAAATACATCTTAAAACATAGATAACCCATTATAATTAAAATACAAGTGTGACCTAGAACAAAAGATATTATGTAGCATGGGTCACGATGTTCCATCCCATTTCACAATGTGATTCCGATATTAATGATTAAATTGATTTCGATACCTGCACGAAAGGGTATATGGTGGTCGAATGTTTTGTAACGTCAAGAAGAGGCGGGGGGGGGGGGTGGATGGCCGAATGGTTAGCGTGTGCACGCTGCATCATAAGGTATATCATTGAGTCAACTGGCATGGTTTCGATTCCCCGTTTGTAGGTGACAAGGTGTAGGGTCGCCTTTCCTATCTCGTGGGTTTTCTCCGGGTCGTCCGGTTTCTCCCCACTGCTAATTATTGAATTAAAATTGAACCATATGTTAGTCCTGAAATGACCTAGTTTTGTCTAATGGACGTTAAACCCCATTTCTCTCTCTCTCTCTTTCTCGCTCTCTCTCTCTCTCTCTCTCTCTCTCTGAAAAGGTTTAAACTTTCTCATATTTCACTTTGAAACTTTTTAAGTTTTTTATATTTTTACTCCCAACAAACGTTTGCTTAATTTCGTCAGAAATGTGGGATTTCTCGTCGAAATGAAGCAAATAACTATGTATTAAAAAATCAAATTTTTCTAATCTGATTTGCCAGGAAACACTTACCACTCCAACTACGTTCTTTGCACACCGCTACTCACCGCGTTTTTCTTCATTGGTCTCATTTAAACATTTGGGTGCACGTAAAAGATCCCTTGGTAGTTGGAATTCGATATAAGAATAAGCTGCAGCGCCGTTGTCCGGGCAAAATGTCCTTCATATATAGCACACTGTATGGCGTATGCCAGCCTTTTCATTAGCCCAGTCGAAGCAGAACAGGACGTTAAACTCCATTGCATTCCATTTAAAGGTTCTTTATGGGGTCGACACTTATTAGGAAAAGGCCGAAGACTCCGCTTATCTAAGTACGATCGCAATGGCATTTGGTATACTTTTTCGATGGATAATTGTGCATCGATGGATGGACTTCGATTTTTTGATTTGACGTCACAATAAAGTCCAACTCCGTTCCTGGTCAACAAGTTACTGGTTTTAACATCATGCTCGTACTAGGTTGGGTTTTTTTAAAAATATTTCATGGTCGTTTAAAGTATTCAGACAGAAATAAATAATTGAATTGTTTATTTGATAGGCGGCTCTCCGTACTTTTAAAACAAACACTAGAAGTATTATTGCAATATTCAAAAGATTGTTTTTTGCAATTTACATATAACCCACATTCTCAACAGGGGCGGGTCCAGCACTTTTTCTCAAAAAGAGGGAGGGGACGTTAAACGTAGCACTTTGCGATCGAACCATGGAGCAACTTTACTTTCGGCTAGGTACCAAGACAGATTCATGTGAATCACGCCAACGCTTTGACGTTATTGATACCGTATATAATCCTTTGAGGAACATAATAATAAGAACAAAAAAAAAACATTAGGAGAGGAATATTAAGCCCGCTGCCCCGCCCTCTAAATTCTAAACTAATTAAAGCGGAAATTGCAAATTTTCTAAGAAAGTCAAAACGTAATTATTTCTATGTCTTTTGCTCAATAGGTTGTCAACTCACAATTATACGATCATAGGTGTCATTCTTACACTTAAAACTCATTTACACAGGAAATAATAACACAATTACCTCCCAATTACCTCCCTTGTTTTCTATTCTCCACCATGGAGTAGCTTTTATCAAACGTTTGAAAATGAAGGGGAACATGATATTTTTGCCAATTTCTCAGCTGGCAATAGTGAATTATAGGATTAATAGGATTATTCTTTAACAAGGTAGGACTGTTTATGGATACCATCTATTTTCAGGATTTATTTTAATAAATTTTAAAAATATAACTTAAAAATTTGCAATTTCCGCTTTAAATAATAGATTTTGTTGACGAAGGAAAGAACACGGAAGCGAATAGAGACAATATTTAAACTAGTCAGACATTTGTTAAGACGTGTAAGATATGATGATACTGAGTTTGAATATGACTGATTTAGAAGAGCGGGATATTGATTACAATCTGATGAATTGGAAAACAAATTTTATGATCAAACACATATTTAACGAATTCTCGATTTTCACCTATATATAATTTTACTGAACTGTTTCTTGAAAGGACATCATCTCTCTAATTGCATAGCTAGCATTGATTAGTTTTCCTACAAATTACTAGCCTATTGTGTAATGTCGTTCTAATCAGTTCGAAATCGTTCATACACACAAATACTAAACATCTATTTTCGATTTTAATAAATGTTAGCAGAATAAACACTCCTCAAAATTATCGAAGTTTTCTTTGTGTCTTTCATTAATGTCGTTCAATTAGCCACATGTCTGTTCTCAAGCGGAGCAAATTGTAGACAGGCAGATTCCTTGTCGTGTGACAAATACTTTATTTAAGACAGTAATTCTTGATTCTCCATCAAATACATATATTAAACAGCTTTCACAATATCAACTTCTCCACAACAGACCTGGCTAACATACATTTTGACCTTGTATTCACTGGTCAACTGTTCGGTAGCTTGTCAAAATTTGTTTGTGTTTGTGTCCATTCCAAGTCTATCGTTTTGTCTCAATGTCACATGACTTCAGGTAGGTCAGCTGATTTCTGGTTGGTTAGGTTAAAGTTCGTCAGTTTCCCATTGATACGGGTATTTTTTTTCTGTATACACTGGTTAGATCTATTCCATACAGCCAGCGTAAAGTTTGGTCAAAGGTCGCGAGATGTAAACAGGGCTAGTGCTAATCCCAACCCTAACCCTGGACCTACCCCTAACGCTTACCCAACCCTAACCTACAATCTCGCCAACAATCACGTGCCCTAACCTTATTTACATCTCAGCGACCTTGACGAAATCTTGAGTTGGCCTTAAGAAATAGATCCAGCCGCCTGGTGTTGGACTTCAATTGTTGGTCAATATGTTACCGAAAAATTGATCTAACTTATAATACATAACTTTCGATAGTGTCCATATAACGTATAATACTCATACAATATTTTGGCAAACCAGGGTGGTGCAGTTGGCAGAGGATAATTCAAGAATGTACTTACATTTATGGTTAACGAACGGCGAGTAACGACAAATGCAGACGAAGATGGATCATCCTCTCAATCAAGTCACGTGACGAACAAGGACGCTTGAAATAGATTTTTAAAGTTCTGGGTACTTTTCTTTCATTTAACATGAGAGTGATTTGAAGCAAATTTTTGATAGATAAATTAGTTTAAATATGTTTTTAGGCCAAATTTATGATCAAAACTCCCAGTTTGTACGTGGGAAGGCATCTGTGGTTGATAAATAGCTGTTGATATGCAATCTGTAATACCTGGAAACAGGGACCGTAATGGTCTGTGGTGCAGATGAAAAACCCCACACCAACTAGTGACATACAATGCATTAACACCCCATTCATATGTCTGGATAATTGTATGCCTCAAGGGGGGGGGGGGCTCGGTGGTTCAATGAGTAAGACATTGGCTCGCTTGTTCGGTCCCTGCATTGGCCGAGAAGGTTCATCGCGATTTTCCGGCGAGGTTTCCCCTTGTCAGTGGTGCAGGACGGAGGGCCTGATAAGGACAGCTGTCTAGTCGTTCGGATGGTACTAAAAGACGAGGTGAGGTCCCCTGTATACATTGGCGTGCACGTAAAAGATCCCTTGGCAGTTGGAATTCGATATAAGAGTAGACCATAATGCTGCTGCCCGGGTCAAATTTCCCTCATAGCACACTGTATGGCGTATGCCTGTCTTCATTAGCCCAGTATAGGAGCAGAATAGTAGGACGTTAAACCCCATTTCATTTCATTTTAATTTGTTTAATACAAGAAGAAGAGGTTAGGAACAATAATGGCTAATCAAACATTCAAACGTCAACGAATTATTTGTTGAAATAAGATATAAGGAGGATAAATTCAAACATGGCTGATTTAGAAATGAAGAAAACTGATTATAATCTAATGTTGAATTAGTTGAATTTAATTGGAAAAAAAATATTTGATGACAGACAAGAGTTGGTGGAGGGGGGGGGGGGGGTACAGTATCAGTGGATGTATGATAAATTCATATATCACTCACCATGGAAGATGACATGACATGTGCAATGCGACGTGCAGTTTGAAGTTTGCCCGAGGTCAACGTGGTGCCTATATACGGTAAAGAAATCTTGTCATTTCATTTAGCTTTCAATTACTAAGGATATACCCTTCTAGGTCATCTGTTCTTAAAGGAGCTAAATTGCTAATATTTGGGACCTAGAAATTGACCCAAATGGGTCGCAATGCATATAATAATGTAATCTGATTGTATATGAATTGATTTACATTCAATTGTTTCCGTTTGGACTCTAATTTCAAATCAGTTACGTACAGCGAAATACGGCAGGAGTCTCAACCGAATAGCAATTTCTAGCGTCTGGTTATTCCAGTCTGTTGCGCATGCTCTCCAGATCAGATATGGCGTCACCGTTTGACATGAGTTGTGGAATATGTATAGCCTCGTTCTTTCTGGTCATTTGTTACAAATGACTCTGAAACGCAGTATGGTACACGATTCGTGTACCAATGGTAAAATGTTTATTTTGTCTTAAATATTGGATATCAGAAGCCTACCCTTTCCTGGTAAGATCACAACATCAATGTTGATTTGAATTGACAAATAATTCGTATTTTCGTATTTTCAACGTGTAAGACTTTGGATGATATTGAGTTAGAGACTTAGCTACTTGAATTACAAAATGATCAGGTAAGACGTCGATAGAACATTACAAGAGGCAACGTATCTACATTGAGTTACTGGGATATACGTCAAGGCAATTACAATATAAATCATAGAAAGTCGTCTCTTGGGATACCAAAACGAGACACCAAATATGGCAGCTGGTTACTATACGATTTTCCGTACAGTTACAACAACACGCTTCAGGATATAACCTTCTAGGTTATCTGCCCACAGCCCACCAGATTCTGTGCCGTCCATAGAGCCAGTCAGGTAACTTCGGGCACAACTTGGGTGACTTGCGAACCACCACCCCGCACCGATCTTCTGGCCACATCGATTTGTATTGGTATAGTCAACGTCATACGTGGTGAAGGAATAGCCGACCACCGCAAGATCATCCATAAGAGAGTCCCCACATGGACTGGAGCCAGCGACTGAAGTATAGGATTCCATTATCAACTTGTACCCAGTTTCTTTGTTGCCAATATTAAATCCCTCATATTCCGTGATGCACTCTCCTTCGTTGTACCATAGCCGAACTCGTAAAGCAAACTTGTAGTCTGGGCTACTGTTCAGCACAGCAAGCAGTCGGTTAAATCCAATCCAGCTGTTTTCACGAACTATTCCGAAACCAAGTTCGTAATCTACCAGTGATCGGTTGAACGATTCGGAACTACAGTCGATGTTACGTTCTAAGACAATGATAGAACCTGGATCTTGGGTTTCACAGTAAACCTCAAATGGTTTTGCTGCAGTAGCTGGTTTGATGTAGGTTAATCTTTCTTTACCCTCTGTATTTGTAAAGACATCTTTAGAAATACCGTCTGCACAATCTTAAATAAAACAAAACAAAAAGGTCGATGAACAGTACGCTAGACACCCCCCCCCCCCTCCTCCCCTCCCCTATTTTCAGTACTCAGATCGGATAGACTGTCCGTTAAAAGTACGTAGATCGGGTAGACCACTGATTATAGCAACGCAAGTGGGAGAGACCGCCCATTATCAGTACGTAGATCGGATAGACTGCCCGTTAACAATACGTAGATCGGATAGACCAATGAGAGAGATCGCCCATTATCAGTACGTAGATCGGATAGACCGCGACCGCCCGTTAATAGTACGTAAATCGGATAGACCGCCCGTTAATAGTACGCAGATCGGATAAAACACTCAATGGTTAATGTCGTAATGTTATGCTCTTTCAAGTTTATCCGATTTTCTTCAAACAAGGACAACTTAATTTGCACTGAAAATTCTTCACATGCTTCGAACGACGCAATTTTGATAATTTGTATAAGAAGGTACATATCACTTAAGGTCATACAGCCGAGGCTAGATGTAGAGTAACGGAATCTGCCGAGGTTTGCCGACTGTATATCAGCCAGCACACAGACCGGACGAGCGACCTTCTACAATATCGTGAAAATTAAACTCTTTATTCAACCTTAACAAGGTTGTGGCTTTCAAAAAAGAACATAAATTACCTGTCACGACTTGTTGACATCCGTTTCCATAGAAACCAAATGGGCACGTGTAGTCTGACCCATCATAACCACTAGTCTACAAAGAAACAATAAGTAATGTTAAACATACAGGCTTTACATAAACTATTAATTAGACCATAACCCACTCTCGGTGCCATATGATTGGTCCTATTTTCAAAAGATTTGAATCCGATCTGCGGTTCAACGACCGTTGATGATGAGCCGTAAAAATGGATAACCCAGATTTTGTTTATTATCGTAACAACGGTAACAATGATAGTCGAGGCTACAGTGTTATTAAGATGAGGATGCCTCGACTCAGAAAGAGAGAGAGAGAGAGAAATGGGGTTTAACGTCCACTCGACACAAACTAGGTCATTTCGGGACTAACATATGGTTTAATTTTATTTACATAATTCGCTTGCGCGTAGGGGTCTTTAGCAGTGGGGGGAACCGGAGGACCCGGAGAAAACCCACGAGGTTGGACAGGCGACCCTACTCCTTGCCACGTACACCCGGGGATTCGAAACCACGCCAGTCGACTCAATGACAGACTTTATGATACAGCGCGCGCACGCTAACCATTTAGCCATCCAACCCACCGACTCAGAAAGAAGTAATATAACTAAAAGTATCAGACTTTTCTCTTTACATTATTGATCTCTGCATTGGCCGAGAAAGTTCATCACGATTTTCCGACGTGGTTTCTCCTTTTCAAGGGTGCAGGAAGAAGGGTGTAACAAGGACAGCTGTCTAGTCGTTCGGATCGGACGGAAAACCTGGGTCCCGTTTATATATTGGCAGTTGGAATTCGATATAAGAGTAGTCCATAGCACCGCTACCCGGGCAAAACTTCCCTAATAGTACACAGTATGGCGTATGCCCGTCTCCATTAGCCCAGTCGGAGCAGAACAGTAGGATGTTATACCCCATTTCATTTTATTTCATTTACATTATCTTTCTCTAACTCTTATAGCGAGAAAAACAGGAGTGTTATCTTATTGTTTATGAGTGTAAACAATGTAGCAATGGGTTGTATTAAAGATACCTCACCGCGTACAAACTGGGTGATTTGGTGATATATTTGGACTAAAAACATATTCAGCAAATTAATCTATCAAAATTGTGCTTCAAATCCTTCTCAAAACATTGCATTCGTGAGGGAATAACCCTATTATAAAAGAGGTCATGTTTGTGTCACGGGTGTGTAGCCGGGAAAGAGTTCCTTGCATATACAAGACGATGTTGTCTTTAATCGCTATTTATTTGTCATAAATATCGAAGCCGAATTAAATTGTTGGATTATCCACAGCGCATGTCCTTTTCCGTGGTATTTATCTAAAAATTGTTGTACGATTAAGCTCACCATCAAGTTTATCAACATATACATCAAGCGCTCACTAATCAAACAATCTTCGCGTGCAACCTTTGACGTTACTCGAACAGGCTTCCCTAATCGTCGGGTTGCCAGTTAGGGAAACCCTTACATTTTTTGTCCTGTATGCGCCCCATGGGTGTTTTTCAGGGAATCCAGCATTTTTCTGGTAAGATTGGAAGTTTCTACTTTCAAAAAAATACCCAAATTGCCATACTTTTTATTGGAAAAAAGAACACCCGATAAATACTTTTGTTGGAAAATATCTTTAAGACATATCGTAACCGATAGTCTATAAGGGCAGAATAAATAAAAAATAATTAATGTCTATATAACACAACGAGAGTTATCCGATTAAAGTTCCTGTTGTTGTAAAGAAAACAGCATTTTCACTTTCAAAATGAAATGAAATGGGATTTAACGTCCTACTGTTTTGCTCCGACCTGGGCTGACGAAGACGGGCATACGCCATACAGTGTGCTATGAATGAAATTTTGCCCGGACAGTGGCACTACGACCTACACTTTTATCGAATTCAAACTGTCAAGCGATCTTTTACGTGCACACCAATGTGTAAACGTGACCTCGGTTTTTTGTCCCATCCGAACGACTAGACAGCTGTCCTTGTCAGGCCCTCCGTCCTGCATCAATGACAAAGGGGAAATCACGCCGTAAAATCTGGCCAATGCCGGGATCGAACACCCGACCTCCAGACTAGCGAGCTATATATGTATATACCGGCCTAAAAACAACTAGGTTATTTCGGTACCACAAATCCATATCAAATCTTCTTGATAGTAAACGTGCCTATTTGCACGTTCGTTAAGCTCTTTGAATAACGATTATATAAAACACGTTCGTTAAGTTCTTTGAATAACGATTATATAAAACATGTTCCACTAGTATTGAATCTTAAAAAATGGCTCATGTCTTGTGACAGCGTGGTAGCCTTACTACGAGTTTTTACAAGTATTTCTATTTAGTTTAGGATAAAGCACTAGACTGAGGTTATGCTAGGAAATGAAATGAAATGAAATGGAGTTTAACATCCTACTGTTCTGCTATTATGCTAGGAAAGAAAGAAAGAAAGACTAAAGAAAATGACCCAAGAAAAAAAAAAGTTGAGGCCGGCAGACCGAGGTTTTTCTTTGGAGGGTTTTTTTCTGAAGTCTTTCGTCCCCAGCATAACCGAAGTTGAGGATTTATCTTGCTTATAAACCATTTATGTTTACATGTACGTAAAATGAGAATATCCCAGAAAAAACTTTTATCATGTTTCCTTATGGACAAAAAACCTACCCTGGAAAAATTAAACGTTACAGGTTTAACAAAAAACTTTTCAGAATAACCCCAAATTCCCCTGTATATATTCCAAGCCGCCGCCGACTTCCAGACCGCAAGTTATTCCGGGCATAGAATATATCCCAAAGTTCAAAGAGATTTACCGTTATAGGTTTATAACACATCATCAAATCACTCAGTTTGTACGCGGGAATGTATCTTTAAGTTAAGAATTTATTCAAAATTGTTCGCCTTATTATAACTAAAATATAGCCCGTTATAAAACTTTTGTTGTTTTAATGTATCTAATACATCAATAAGAAACTATGTGCATATTCTCTGGTTCGGGTTCAAAGATATTTCTCATAAACAGTGATTGAAAGTCGAGTTAATTCTTAACTTAAGTCTGAGAATGCTTTATGAATCCGGGGCCTAGGGCCATATTCAAGAATACCGCCTTTTGATTAGATTTATAAGCAAGTTGGGTTTTAATCCCCAATCAAAGAAAAGGCTGTACTTTTCACATATTTTGATATGTCACCATGGCATCCAATTGTTTATAAATTGGCGTTTTTTAATGGACAGTCTATTTCAACATCACTGAGTACATAAAAGCACAGTAATTTAACTTGAAAAGTCCTATTGAAATCCTATTACTGATCGAAGACGATGATAATCGAAGTAATCTTGTTTGTTGTCTTGTATAATTTTATGTCACCGCAACCGTTGGTTTAATCAACATTCCATTCAGGAAGCGATATTCAAGTATTTGTTGTCTTGTATAAATCGTTGGTTTAAACAACATTTAGGAAGCGATATTTAAAAACCTTCGATTATCCTGGAGACTCTACTCCACGTATCCTTATATGTAATTATACTAAAAAAAAATATTGTTTAAGTCATAAATATATACTATAATCTAAGAAATGATATGAAGTGAAATGGAGTTTAACGTCCTAATGAAGACAGGCATACGCCGTACAGTGTGCTATGAGGGTGATTTTGCCCGGACAGTGACACTACGGCCTACTCTTATATCGAATTCCAACTGCCAAGGGATCTTTTACGTGCACGCAATTGTGTACAAGGGGTCGTTGTTCTTCGTCCCATCTGAACAAGTATACGCTTCCCTTCCAGGCCCTTGGTCCTGCTCCACTGATAAGGAGGAACCACGCCGGAAAATCCCCATGAACATTCTGGTCCAATGCAGGTTAGCGAGCTAATGGCTTATTCACTGAGCCACCGCGACTCTTATAATCTAAGATCCTGGAGACTAAACATCACCGGTGGTTAGGGGAGTACAGAGCTGGTTCATTAACAGTTGTCGAGTTCCAGGAAAAGCGTCTAGTCTTTCGAGTTTGCTGTGCACGTTAAAGATCACTTGGTGTCGAAAAGGTACGACCAGTGTCTAGACAAAATGTCCCTTAAGCACACTGCATGGCGTATGTAGGCGAAGAAGAGTAAAATGTGAAACCGTGTCGAGATGACAACGATCCTCAGGACTGGGTCCAGTAGCGTAAAAACATTTGACAATAGAATGATAAATATTTGGATAATTATGAAGTTTTCAAGGAGTGTGGTTCAGTTTTATTTCAATAATTCGCTTGCGCGTAGGGGTTTTTTAGCAGTGGGAGGAAACCGGAGAACCCGGAGAAAATCCATGAGGTTGGACAGGCGACCCTACTCCTTGTCACGTACAACCGGGGAATCGAAAACACGCCAGTTGACTCAATGACAGACCTTGTGATACAACCTTCACGCGCTATACATTCGGCCATCCAAACTCTCTTGCACGGTTGTCCGTTTAGAGTCGTGTATAAAGAAAACCCCTTTGGCCACTTGAATTTTCCAAAATGGCTACCATTTTAGACCGATTTAGAGTATTTTTATACGCCCATATTTCTGGCTAGATCTAATTCTTAAGGTCAACTCAAGATTTCGTCAAGGTCGCTGAGATGTAAATAAGGTTATATAGAGCACGTCATTGTTGGCCAGATTGTAGGTTAGGTTTAAGAATTTGGGGAGAGGTTAAGTCTCCACATAAGCAAAGACCTAGGATGATGATTATGATGATGATGATAGGGTTGGGATTAGCGCTAGCCCTGTTTACATCTCATGACCTTTGAACAAACCTGAAGCTGGCTTTATTAAATAGATCTAATTATTTTCTTCCGGATATATTTTGTTTTGTCATCTCTCAAAGCTAAGATAGGCACGAGACTGAAATTCAGAAGCCGACGCCATTGGGTATGACACGCATAACATATATCCCTGTTAACTATGGCTTCCTGCAAGAAGTATAAGAAATGAAATGAAATGGGGTTTAACGTCCTACTGTTCTGCTCCGTCTGGCCTAATAAAGACAGGTATACACCATACAGTGTGCTATGAGGGAAATCGTGCACGGACAGCGGCACTATGGCCAACTCTTATATGGAATTCCAACGGCCAAGGGATCTTCTATGTGCACGCCAATGTGTACACGGGACCTCGGTTTTTCGACCAACCCGAATGACTAGACAGTTGTCCCTGTCAGGCCCTCGGCCCTGCACCACTGACAAGGGGAAACCACGTCGGCAATTCCGATGAACTTTCTCGGCCAATGCCGGGATCGAACACGTGACCTCAGGTTAGCGAGCCGGGATCTTACCCACTTAGCCACTGTGACTCCCGGAAAGAAGTATAAGACCTGATATCACTTCCGGTACGTATGTATACTTACCTTCATGTAGCAAGAACAGCTTGTGGTATCTTGTTCCGTGGGGCAATCTGTACCATCAGGATATAAAGTACAAACCAAAGAAACTGGACAGAATAAAAATCGTCTACAATCAGAATGTCCACTACATAATAAACCACATTGTATTCTATTACTGGCAGTTCGAGTCAACAATGAATCGTCCATACACAGATTAGCAATAAATGTAACACTGGTTTTGCTGTATGACGCTAACTGGACTGAAACTCCGTCATAAATCGCAAGACAGGTAAAATACAAAACTATCGCATTTTTCATTGTTTTAAATAATTTAAAGTTTAACACCGAGCGAAATTTTTTTAAAGTTCAGGTAGTCTAACTGGTGATCTTTGATAATTGCATTATATTAATTAAGATATAATTGAACACGGATCTGATGTTCAAAGTCTGGCATCCACGAATATATACCATCATATACTGTTACAAGACACTACCTGATCACCGTCTACCAATCATGTTGATGTTATAGAATTGATCGTAATGACAGGTCTACATGGTAATAAAATCAATCCTGATATGATTTAAAAGCCGAATATCGGTTTGTGTTGTTACCAGTAATGATCACTATAAATTAACACTGTTATTCAATCTGTATCCAGGTAATGGGTGGATAATGTATTGATTATATTGATAAATCACTTCTCAAGCATGTTTCTTTCATTTGTTAAACAAGAAACAATGTCCTATAATTTAAGATAGATCTCATTCATTTTAACGTTATAGGTTCACGGTAGCTAAGTGGTTAAGACGCTGGTTCGCTAGCCTGGAGGTCGGGTGTTTGATCCCTACATTAGCCGACAAAGTTAATCCAGATTTGCCGGCGGGGTTCCCCCGTATCAGTGATGTAGGACGGAGGGCCTGACAAGAACAACTGTTTAGTCGTTCGGATGGGACGTAAAACCGAGGTCCCGTGTACACATTGGCGTGCACGTAAAAGATCCCTTGACAGTTGAAATTCGATATAAGAGTAGTCCCTAGTGCCACTGTCCGAGCAAAATTTCCCTGATAGCACACTGTATGGCGTATGGCCGTCTTCATTTGCCCAGTTCGGAGCAGAACAGTAGGACGTTAGTCCCCATTCCATTCATTCATTATAAATTCAAAACAGGAAGTATATCCCCCCCCCTCCAAGCAAGAGAGAGAGAGAGAGAGAGAGAGAGAGAGAGCGGGTGAGAGAGTGTCGAGTTAACATCCACTCGACACAAACAAGCTAATTTCAGAACTCACACATAGTTGAATTTTATTTCAATAATTCGCATTAGCCTTGGGAATTTAGCAGTAGGAGGAAACCGGAGGGAGGTTCTGGAGAAAACCCACGAAGTTAGACAGGCAACCTACTCCTTGTGACTTACAAACCACGCCACTGGACCCAATAACATGTCCTATAATCTAAAGCGGGGGCGTTTTATATGCAGTGACTATGGTCCACATGACATAGCTGTTTCAATTTTAGATCAATAGTTTCCTAGACCCACGTTGCACCTCTGTACAAAAATCAAACTATTTACTCACGGGATCACCATTTTGCAGGTATTTTGTTCATTTATTTCACCTGTGCTGATACATTAAAGGACAATATTGGTGCCATTCATTATCATATATGTGATAGAACTGGTTAAACACCTTCCAAATATTATTTTATCACAGAGATCATTGCTACGATAGATGTGGAATCAATGGTCCAACAATCGGAAGTGACGAGCGCAAAAGGAAAACACGAGTTATCCCTCTATATAACTGATTGAAGTGACGGGTGATATCAGGTACATGGGTGAATTTCTACTCGCTAATAATTCCTTCGATGACCAAAAGTTGTTGTGTGAGACTGTGAAAGGATATCTGATAACTCATAAAAGAACATTGACTGACACTAGATAAGAGAACATGAAAGAAAAATAGAAAAAGTCTGTGCATTACCATGTTTTTGTAAGGATAGAATGAATAAACACGCGTGAATTTACTGACTGTTTCTATTTTATTCGTGTTCTCTTATCTAATGACATTCAATTATTTTTTTGAATTGTCAGATATGCTCTTACAGTCTCATATAACACCGTTTGATCTTCGAAGGAATTATTAGTGAGCAGAAATTCGCCCATGTATCTGTTATCACTCGTCACTTCAGTCAGTTATATAGAGGGATAACTCGTGTTTTCCTTTTGCGTTCGTCATTTCCGATTGTTGAAGCATTGATTACTCCTCTATCGTAACAATGATTTCTGTGATAAAATAATATTTGGAATGTGTTTAACCAGTTCTATCACATATGTGATAACGACTGGCACCAATATTGTCCTTTAAGTATAAACCACCTGGAATTAGAGGCCCGGGACTGTACATCACAGTACACGCTTACCACTAGATCGCTGGTCCATTTCATTTGGTGTTTGAGGTGTCGTAATCTGCTGTAGGTTTGTCTTGTGTCATTCTGTACATGTGGTGCAGCCCCCCCCCCCTCCCCACGCACACACACATACATACATGTAAATGGTGTAAATCGACGACTTTGACTGGATCCTCCTAATCGTGGTCTTGATACATATTGCATGTAGCTGAAAAGCACCGTTATTTATGAACTCTATTACATCAAAGTATTATGAAGATATATAAATTATACCTCAATTTAAATATGTTATGCATTTAACTTTTACCAAACAAACGCTGACACACTGGAGTTTGCAAATAATTGGGGAAATGGGAACGCCGCCAAACGAGTTTATTTGCTCTTTACTAACTTACTCTGATCTTGACACCTAGTGTGGTCTTTAACCTGTAAATAACTACTTTTTTGTCCCCCCCCCCTCCTTTGACCACACATGGGAAGAACGACAATATCTTGATAGGACAGTTATTTATTAATGTGACCAACCGAGGACGCACATTATGTTTTAATACCGACAAATGGGGACTTTGTGTATGGTGAACACCAACAACCGAGTACACACACACTCATATTCCAGGAAGTTACAAGTGTATATCAATAATATAAATTGGATGCGTTCAACATTCTATATCCAAGATCAGGCCCCCTTTGACCACAGGAGTTGGTCACTGAAAGAATATTTTTTTATTGATGCAACCACTTAAACTTCTAATTGTCGAAACCAATATAAGTGAGGTCTTACAGTCTGTATGTGAACAATCGATGACTCGCACACGATCGAATACATGGGAAAACTTATTTCTGTGACCCCGGATATCCAACAAGTGATCCCAAAATTTACATTCCGGCAACAATATAATTCATCAGCAGCATCATTATTAACATTACCATCATCATCATCAGTTTGCAATGGGCTGAAAACGATTGGAAAGGTAGAAGAATGAGAAGCCGAACAAACTCTGTAACGATCGTTTTTGTAATATTACTTATAATCATGATAACCCCAATATGGATCCTCATGGAATGATTGTTAGGGTTTCACACTGCTTAGCTTGTGTGAAACACTATTGTTTTTGTTAAAATTATTCTTATTATTATTAGGGTTTCACACTGCGTAGCTTGTGTGAAACACTATTGTTTTTGTTAAAATTATTATTCTTATTATTATTATTTAGGGTTTCACACTGCGAAGCTTGTGTGAAACACTATTGTTTTTGTTAAAATTATTATTAGGGTTTCACACTGCGTAGCTTGTGTGAAACACTATTGTTTTTGTTAAAATTATTATTCTTATTATTATTATTCTTCTTTTGTTTTGAGTAGATCTCAGCAACTGATTGTCGGATCGTTACGATTTCTTCGGTTTTATCGGAAAAGTGGGTGTGACTTAGAGGATAAAGCTATTTTGAACGTTCTGCGACAATGCGAAATGTCCGAAATCACCGAAGCTATCGTTTTTAGAAATATTGCAGTAATTTTAACAATAATCATTGGATTTTAACTTTCGATGCATTTTGGCATAGCCGGAGACGGGGCACATAGCTACGCTACTTTTGATTTTTGATTTTCGGCAAATCTTCGCAGATATTAGGCGCTAAATTTAGAAAATTTAAATTTTTACAAAAAACTTTTTTATTTATGAATATTTTTTAATCGTGTTTTACACAAATATAACGAGTCCTCTGACTTGGGCAAAAATGTGAAAATTTTTTGTCTCGGTAATTTTCCTTGGCCCCCATTGGCTAATTCAGTTTTTCAGTCCTAGATTAATTATTTATTGTTCGATTTGTATAAAACAAAGTTCATATGCCCCGTTGTCTCAATTGTCATTTTTTTTGTTACCAATAGTGTTATCTGTCGGCACCGGAAGTGGCGTAAATTGACAAAAAACTACAATTTTGACAGTTAGGTACCATTTTTCGAAAGCAAATATTATTTTTTTCAAATCTGGTATAACTGAAATTGTGCGCCCTTTAAAGGCGCACAAAATGTTGGGACCATTTTTTTTAATTTCGATTCCGTTTTCGGGCTATTTCGATTAAAAGGTGAAAAAAGGTGTAAAATTAAGCTATTTACAACCCATTCAGCGTTTTCATATTTTAAAATATTACTTCGTAACTTTCATAAACTCGTAGCAATAATCTATACGGAGAGAATGTATGTGAAAATTAATTTGTAATATGCGCAGTTGCCGAGAAATGGGCAATTTTGCATGAGTCACTTTTTACGCTAGTTTGCCTGTAAAAGAGTCAATTATTATTCGATTTTCATAAAAGTGACACCATTTGATGTGTAATGTCAATTTTAACTAGGTCAAACCAATTTAACATTTTCAATATCACCGGAAATGACGTAATTTGGGCAAAAATTGTATTTATAGCCTTCGAAACCAGTAATTTATTCAAATGAGTCATATTTGTTATTTGTTTAAAATTTTGATATTTGATTCAAATCAACTAATACAATGAACCCTTACGATCATATAGATATCACAAAATGGTTTCTAACTTGTTCAGTTGCGGAGAAATAGGCAATTTTCAACAGGTCACTTTTTAAGGTTTTTTTGTCAAAAAAAGTGTCAATTATTATTCGATTTTCATGAAATTTTCACTGTGTGATACATAATGCCATTTACGATATCATACAAGTAATTTAAGATTTTCATTATCACCGGAAGTAACGACATTTTGGCAAAAACTGTATTTTTAGCCTTCAAAACAGATATTTTATTCAAATGAATCAGATTTGTAATGTTTTTAAAATTATGATATTTGATTCCAATCAACAAATAGAATGAACTCATTCGATCATACAGATACCTCAAAATGGTTTCTAACTTGTACGGTTGCAGAGAAATAGGCGATTTTCTACAAGTCATTTTTCAAGGTTTTTGGTCTATAAAGGTGGCAATTATTATAGGATTTACATAAAATTTTCAACATGTGATGATGCTATTTCTGATTTCATAAACCAATTTAACATTTTCATTATCACCGGAAGTAATGTAATTTTGACAGGATCACTGACATGTAGCAAATGAATTGATTGCTGGATTTGGTTGTTTCTGCGTCCATTTTATTTCATGTGTGCAATG